CTTACATGCCCTGTTTACTGTGAATGCTGCAATATTTAGCTACAGAAATGTCATTGTACTTGAGGACAGTGATGCTCCAAATTCAAAGGGGATGCTGCACATTATACAATGTATTATGTAATTGAGTATTGAATTAGAGTATCATATAAAATACACAAATTATAAGGATAGCATTATATAAATTACAACATGAACTCACCTGAGATTACCATATAGATTAAGGAAGATAAATATTAATAAAAGCACCCAGAAGACTTTCTTGTGTCTCCTCCCAAAGGAAACACTATATTAACTCCTAACCCTAAAGAATAGTTTTTCTGCTTTTAAACTTTCTAAAAATGTAATTGTGTGCCACATTTATGTAACAATAAGGGAAACTAGGTGCAGGGTGTATGGAAAATCTCTATTGCCATATTTTGAAAATATAAAACTAAAATTAAAAGATCTAATATCAAAATTTAAAAATATCTTAACAATGTTCCTTCAATTTGACTTCTTTCACACATTATTGTTTATAAGATTTATGTAAGTTGTATATAATAGTGTGTCAGCCATTTACATTGAACCGAATTCCATTATATTAATATAAAGCAAATTATTTGTCAAGTCTACCAATAATAACATTTGTGTTACTTTCAGTGTTTTCATTTGTTTTGCCATTGCAGATAATGTTGCTATGGAACAATTATGTAAATGTCTGTACATATTCATCATAGGCAGCTTCTGGCCATAAATTTAATTGTGAAAAAGTTTCATTTCTTGTCTAATGTGTAAGATAATTCAGATTTTCTGTTTTTTCTTGTGTACGTTTTTGAAATTTTGTTTTGATAGGAATTTGTCCTTTGATTTTTATGATTTATTGGGACAAACATTATGCCCCTTATTATCTTTTTTATGTGTGTAGGGTCTGTAGTTATATCTACTTTGTTTTTATTTATTTATTTATTTATTTATTTTTGAGACAGAGTCTTATTCTGTCATGCAGGCTAGAGTGCAGTAGCATCATCATAGCTCACTGCAAACTCAAACTTCTGGGCTCAAGCAATTCTCCTGCCTTAGCCTCCCAATTAGTGGAGACTACAAGGATGTGCTTAGCACCACCTATTTATTTTATTTTATTTTTTTGTAGAGAGAAGGTCTCACTCTTGCTTAGGCTGGTCTCAAACTCCTGGCCTCAAGTGATCCTCCTGCCTTGGCCTCCCAAAGTGCTAGGTTTACAGGCATGAGCCACTGTACCTGGCCCACTTTGTCATCCTAAATATTGTTTATTTGTGACTTATTTCTCTCCTTTTTTAATTTCAAAGTATTAAGGGGGTACAAATGTTTTTGTTATATGTATACATTGTGTAATACTTAAGTCAGAGTGACACGGAAAATGTTGTGCGCTGGGACGTGGCCGCTTGTTGCCCCGCCCCCCCACCCCCCGTGTGGGAATGCCCCCAGGCCCAAGCTTTGCTGCCTGTTTCCCGCTTATGTGATCCTGATTGGGTAACTTTTGAATCCCACTGTTTTTGATTGGATGTTAAAGCTTGTTGTTGATTGGATGTTAAACCTTATAGTTGATTGGACGCTTTTTGAGCCCTACTAAGGGTATAAAAGCAGGAGGAGAACAAGGAAGGGGGCAGGAGGGAAGAAGACCAGAAGACAGGAAGAGAACTGTAACACTAGGTGTGCTGATCCTGCTGTGGAAGAATAAAAGGTTGTTCTCCGATTCTTCGTGTGCCGCTCGGTTCTTTCCCTGGTCAAGAGCTGTAACACTAGCTGTACACATTGGTCAAGAGATGTAACACTAGCTTTACACATTGCCACAACAAGAGCATTTAGCATGCCCATCACCAGTATAGTTTTCATTGTACCTGATAGGTAAGGTTTTACCCCTCTTCCCCCTCCCACTCTCCTCACCCTTAATCTGTCTTGCATGGGTTCTATCAATTTTGACATCCTTACAAAAAAAAATTCATACTGTATTTAGTTTCTCTATTGCATGGCTGTTTTCTTTTTATTTATTTCTGTCTTTATCATCTCTTCTTTGTGCTTTATGTGAATTTAATTTACTGAGCTTTTGGACAACTCTTTGAGGTTCATAGTTTGATCATTAAATTTGAGTGTGTATACTTTTCTGAAACATTTATGTAATGTTATAAACATCATTCTAAACAAAGCTTTAGGTAATACCACAAGTTTTAATATAGTATTTTCATTATCATTCAGTTCCAAATCTTTTTAAAATTTTCCTATAATTTCTTTTTTGACTTATTGACTATTTATAAACATACTTTCCCCCAAATATTTGGAAATTTCCTAGGGTTTTTTTAAGTTAATTTCTAGCTTAATTCCATTTATTTGGGACTATGCTGTAATTTTGATTTTTCACAATTTTTTGAGACTTTCCTTAGCATGAAGTTAATTCTATAAATGCTCCAAGTTTACTTGAAGAGAATATAACTTTTTCCCTTGTTAGCTGTAGCATCTTATATTTGTAAATTGGATCAATTGTGTTTATTGTTTTGTTCAAATCTTCTATATCCTGACTTTTTGCCTACGTATTCTTTCAATTGCTAAGAGAGATATGTTAAAATATCTTACTAAGATTTTGGATTTTAGTTTTGTCAACTCTTTCTTCATATAAACTTAGGCCATATTTTTGAGTACATATAAGTTTATAAGTATAATACCTTCCTAATAGATTGATATTTTTATCATTATAAAATATCTTCCTTTAATAACGGTCATTTTTATTTACTGTCTACTTAGTCTGACGTTTATGTTACTATATCAGCTTTCTTTTTCTATAAATTTCCATTCAAATTTCACTCTTTCTATATCCTCACATGTACATTGTTACAACTGCAAGTGATTTTTGCAAAATCTGTCCTAGCAATCTTTGTCTTTTTAAATTGAAGAGCATATTGCATTTATATTAATTGTGATAGGTTCAATTTTTCCTTTGTCATTCTTTATTTTCTCCCCAGTCTTGCCATGCTTCAGTGAGAGCTGAGTATACATCTTGCCTCATCAACTTTAGGTTTCTCAACATGTCATTTAGCCATTGGGATGTGGGTAGAATTATCACCACTTCTTGTACACCTGCCCTCTATCATGGCAACGTCAATTCCCAAATAAGAGTTGCCCTTTCAACCAGAGTCCCAAAATAAGAGAATAGGAGGAACAAACCATAACTCAACCAACAGCCTAGAGCTGAGATGTCACAGTCTACTCCTCAGCTACAAAGGAACAGTGTGAGCAAAAAACAAGTATTTTTGTAAGCCACAAAAATTTTGAGGCTGTTTAGTTTATGTATAACCTTATGAAAACTGATTAATAGAAAATGGTTCCAAAAATGTGTTGCTACAGAAAAATGTAAAATATACATCATTGGCTTCTGAGTGGGAAAATTCTTATAGATGACTAAAAAATAAATGATAACCCATGTTATGTGATGTCAAACTATGTGGTAAGATTATCACTTTTGATAACTTGAAAATGAATCAAGTTACTTCATAAATTTATATCATTGCTCAGTTGTTAGTAAGACAGACTTTAATAGCTTTAGTTGATTGTTTTAGCTGAATTTCTTAAGTTACTATAAGATAGAAATGAGCTACCACCTAAAAAGGATAGGTGTGTTTACCAACAGAAATAAGAGAAAGATAGAAGAATCCAAGCACTATGTGTCTTATCAAGTTAAAGTATGACAGTTATTCATCTCTATTTAACAGCCCTTGGGGAGGTTAATCTATCACAGACTAGAGTGGAGGACCTGTCTTTGAAATCAGATAGAAATGATAGATTTTCACACCCAGCTCAGCTATTTACTAGCCATATAGTGTGGTGTATCAGTTAAGAAAGTTGATTTCTGCTCTGATTACAAACAATGGCAAAATGTCAACAGCTTAAAAAAATAATTTTTTTTTCTTAGTATGCTACCTATTCCATATAGGTGGGCTGGGAGTTCCACTCACTATAGTCTAAGTCCTAGCCACTCGTGGTCTCAGACTGATAATCCAGTAGGGCTTTATGAGAGCATGCGAATATTAGCATCAGCTCAGTGGCATATAATCTGCTCACTGTTTAACTGTGTATAATTTATCTTGAGATCTTAGTTAATGCTTATTAAATTTTATTTAATAATTAATTTTATTAATCATTTCATTAATTATATCAATTTTATTAATCATTCTTTTAACTCTTCAAATAACTATAATGGTGACTTAGGCATCAGGAGCTCTGGTAGATACTAAAGGGATGATAAATGAGGCATGTCTCTGATCTCAGTCAGTTTATGCTCTCTAGAAGATCCATTACAATAGCATGAACCACACAACATGGTTAAGTGCTGCAAAAGACTCATGGAGATGTAAGCCTGCTCTGAGGTGCTTGGCTAGAGAAAGGCTTATTTATCATAATGGTGGCGTTTTGTTTTTTGTTCTCTTTTGCTAGAAGATTGTCTTCTAAAGTTTCATGACAGCTTTACCCCATCACTATTCTTAAAGCAAAGCTCTGAACTATAATAATAACTAACATGTAGAGCTTTAAATATGTGCCCATCTTGTTCATGTACCTTTTACAAGTTGATCTCATTCAACCCAACAAAAAGCTTTTGAGTTAGGTATTATTATCACCTGTTACAGATGAGGAAATGGAGACCACAAGGTAAAGAAACTCACCCAAGTTTGCAAACAGTAGTTGAAGTAGTGAAACAAACTAGTTTTAATCTACAGCCATGTAGATTGACCACTATCCTATGTTGTTTTTTGCAGTCTGGAGAGCTAATTTCCAGTTTCATTCATAATCAGTTTTAATCAACTGTCTTTTCCAGGGATTCTAATTTCTCATTTGTTGTTCAAGTTCAGAAATTCTAGGAATTTCCCTTAAAACAAATTCTCACATTTACATATTTTATGCAACTGGGCCCCGCAGTCCTAGTAGAGAACATATTTGTTTTTAATTAAAGGATCTCTTCCTTTGTCTCTTTTTAATATGATTTATGTTTCCCTTAGGTCTCTACAGAAGAAGGTTTGAGTCTGGCCCAAGAATATAACTGTGGGTTTTTTGAGACCTCTGCAGCCCTCAGATTCTGTATCGATGACGCCTTTCATGGCTTAGTGAGAGAAATCCGCAAGAAAGAGTCCATGTCATCCTTGATGGAAAAGAAACTGAAGCGAAAAGACAGCCTGTGGAAGAAGCTAAAAGGCTCATTGAAGAAGAAGAAGAGAGAAAATATGACATGATATCCCTGCATTTGAGTCCCTCACTCTCTCTCTCTCTGAGAGAGAGTTGGACAATTCCAGATGTAGCATTCTGCTTTAATATTCTGTCTGTCTGTCTCTCTTTAAATCTCTGCCTGTAGGTAAAAGCAAGATCTGCATAACTGTACCTCTAGAGATAGTTTTGTTTTGCCTTTAGCAGTTGGATGGATTTTGTCAATCAGCCGGATATGCTGTTTAGTTTTTACAATATATGACTAAATAAAATTGACATTCCAATTGCCTCATTTCCCTTTAAAGAGCCTAGCTTCATTTGGTATGCTGTCTGGTTATAAAGGAAATATGCAAAATTGCAGCCAGAATGATAAAAGGCTCAGGGGATCTGCCTTTGCCTGATAACATTCTAGTTGTTTGCATTTCAGGAATCTCAGTAAATAATGAAGAAGCTTAGGAAACAATTCAGAACAGGAATCTGCAGCCTGGTCTTTCCTTAAGTGTAGAAGTCATGGTGCTTCTTCTTGAATGCTCCAGAGATAAAATTTAGAGGAATTATTAATAATAAGAATGGGTCGTGGGTCATTGGAGAGCTGAAATAAAATATCCCTGTATTTACAGTGCTCTGCCCCTGTTAAGCTTTGGAAAAATTATCGCAGGGAAGTCATTGGGCTGTAGCAAAAAGATATTGTCTCCATAACAGGAAAAGAGCAGCTGCTATGAATTTGGCGGTTCATATACTCATAAAAGGGCACCCTGCTCCTTCTTGATGAGGAGCCCCTCTTAGGATCACTTCACCTGCATCAGGACCATCTGCAGTGCACAAGGCTTGATGACTCCAGAGACCCTATGTTCTCCCAATATTGCCAAAATCTCCTCTTTCCCCTTACATGAAATGCCAACCGTTGGAGGATTTTCTCTTGTTTGTTTTACAATGAATCATCATGTAAAATGAAATTGCCCATTCATTCACTTTCTCCATTGTGTGAATTGGTTTATCTGAATTAAAGCTCAGAAAACACACTACCGGAAAAGACAGTTCTGAGTGTTTAACAGACAAGTGCTAAGAGGAAAACCAAAAAGCTAAGCTTGAGATGGAATCCATCCAACCAATCTTCATGGGTTGGAGGCAGTTTTTATCATAAGTTAAGAAACAAAAGGGTTGATGGGCATAGTTATCATTTAATATTCGATCACTTCTTTTATTCACAATGCCTCTGGCACTTGCTAAACTCTGAGAATGTAAAACAGATTCGCTCAGATTCTCTTTTGTGTTTTTGCTGCTAGGTCCTAGGATCAAAGAACTCGGCCTACAATTACCTTTTTTTTTTTTTTTTTTTTTGAGACAGTCTCACTTTGTTGCCCAGGCTAGAGTGAGTGCCGTGGCGTCAGCCTGGCTCACAGCAACCTCAATCTCCGGGGCTCAGCGATCCTTCTACCTCAGTCTCCCGAGTAGCTGGGACTACAGGCATGCGCCACCATGCCCGGCTAATTTTTTGTATATATATTTTTAGCTGGTCAATTAATTTATTTCTACTTTTGGTAGAGACGGGGTCTCGCTCAGGCTGGTTTCGAACTCCTGACCTTGAGCAATCCGCCCACCTCGGCCTCCCAAAGTGCTAGGATTACAGGCATGAGCCACCACGCCCGGCCTTATAATTATCTTTTGTTAGTAACTGTAGCCACTCTGTCTCTTAGGGTTTTTCTCAAACCAAGTGTTTGGTTGGCACAAACTAGCCAGTTTTCTCTGCTCCATATTGTCCCTAAAACCAAACCCATTATACATTTTTTAATTCTAAAGCACTTAAAATTACGACGAAAAGTCAAAATAAGAGAAAAAAGAATAAACATGAAGATAATATAAAGTTAACAAGATTCTTATAGTCTTAGAGCCGGTCTCTTGCTTCTTCCTCTTTTTTTGGTTCACAATATCTAATCCTCTGCTTCTGTCACATAAAATTGGCACACTCAGCGCCAGAACATTCTTTGCTTGACTCCCAGAACCCTTCCAAGCCTGGGAAGGCCTATGAGAATGCTACCTTACCTCAGAGACTCTCCTGTTTGCCAAAAGATGCAAGCTAGGAAAAGTAGTAGTTGGCACCTATTTTCCTGTTACCAGCCTGCATTTTCGAAAACCTGATGATTACCCTATCCCTAAATGATACTGTGTGGTGCATTTTATAATACAACCAAGTTTTTGCAAATTTTAGTTTTCATCTTTCATTGTCAACTTGCCTGCCTTTGGCTCTAGAGTTTTGTATCTCATTTCTCCCTAATCCAATCTCTTTCTTTATACTCCTCGAATGCTGGTGAGTAATTTATGTAGTTTAGAAATTCTCAGTGAGATTTGGATTAGGGACCAATTACCAAGTTCAACCATTTTATTCTATAGTAGAAAGAAGGTTCGTAAACAATTAGCCACAGGCTAAAAGAATTTGACATAGTTATCACCAGCAGAGATAGGAGCAGACTTCAAACATTATTTTAAAACAGTCCTTTTTCTAGATGGATGGACCAAAAGGAAATGTTCCATAATAAAACCTAGATATTTCTGCCCAAGGGCTATTGAATCATTGTCTTTGGTATAAGACCAAAATGTCAGGATCTTGTTTCTGATCATATCCCCAAAATTCTAGCCAGACCTAGGACATCTAATTCCCAAAAGTTCAAATAACTACAATGTACATATGCTTTCATTGTCAAGCAAGTGTCAAAAAACTTTTAAGCAATATACATTAGTGTTCATTATAGACAAATGTGTAGTCATCCAATACAATTTATCAAATAGTGACTAAATGCCTACTATGTACCAAAAGGCAAGTATGCATACAATTGCTGCCTTTCAGAAATGTATCATCTATCTACATAAAGTATTTTTTCATTAACTTATCCTATAGATCCCCATGATAAAATAATTTATCAGATCAGAGACAAATGACAATCTGAGATATCCCATGTTGTGTTCAGTTGGCACTAGTTGAGCCTGGGAACTTCTGTAGAAAACACCAGTGAGGAAAGATCATGGGCAGCTGAGCCACATATAACTCACAGCATGCTCAGATGTGCAAGGAACAGATAGGTGCTCTATTTCTTTGTAACACATCTGTTCTTTCTCATGAGCCCCTGACTAATGGGTAACTGGTGGCAGGAGGAATTAAATTTTAGCTGAGGCCAGTAATTTATTGCTAATCTAAGGCAATGATTTAAGAAATCTCTTTAACACAATCTCTGTCTGCTTGGCATACTCAGGGCAGTGTTTGATCTTTCAAAGTTCTGCTCTTTTTATTCTCCTTTTCAAAATTGCATACGGATATAGGGTAAAAGTGTGGTTTATGTGACCACATGGCAGTAGTTTCCTCCTCTTCTAAGCCCTGCAGTATCTTCTGTATCATCTATGATCTTTTTAATCAAAGGTCTGGTTTGATTCTATTTACTGGACGGGTCGACTTTGAGGCATGTCAGGAATGGGAAATGGGCTGTGATGAACAGGCACTCTCTCCTGGAGGCCATGAACTTGCGCCTTTGCCTTGGGTTTTGAGGCCCTTCCCAACACAGTCTCTTTATCCTGAATCAAGGTCCTTCCTGTCCACCTCTTCCAGCACCTCTGCCTCCCTTTGGAATACCTGGCATGACACAAAGAGGCCATTGGGATTCCTAAGGAGTGAATCAATGAATCTATTCCAGCTCTCTTCTCTCACCTCTGTCTATCCCATGTGCAGATTCCCCAAGAAGTCCAGATTATTCCTAGTAATCTTGTCAAAAGTGATATACAAGCACAGACCAGTCAGAATGGAAACTGGCTGTAAAACACCAAGTGTATCCATAGCCATGGGGAAGTTGATCAGTAGCCTCAGTGTTCTCAAACTTCCCTGTGGTTGTTACAAGCAACCTCACACCACTATTCTATCCGAAGTGCTTTGGGCGAGGGGTTAGGAAGAATATGTTGACCTACTTGCTTTATTACTGTCTCTCTTCCAGAAGCCATCCGCTGAAAGGGGAGCAGACTTTTAAGTAACTTTAAAAACATGCTGGCACCTAAAAAGAGCAAATAAGCAAACAAACAAAACAGAATTGGATAGTCAAAGGTGTGAAATGACTCCCTTGTTTTAGGGGGCTTCTGTTCTTCAAAAGCTGGAAATCCCATCCCAATAAAGGTATATATATATATATATATATATATATATATATATATATATATATGTGTGTGTGTGTGTGTGTGTGTGTGTGTATATATGTATAAAATATGTTTCTAAAAGACTGATGGGTCAAAAATAATTTCAAGATATGGAAATATATCTAAAATTATTTCAAAATGTAATGCTCCCCATTACACATGTAACATCTAAGACTAAACATTCCTTATATGAATTAAAGTCATAGTTCTTCTTTGGATCTTTATACAATTTTAGGTGGAGCCCCAAAACTCCCTGGCCTAAGTCCTCTCTACTTTCAATTTGCACTTAAACCTTCTATTTGGCTTGAAATTTCCCCACTAGAGTTTCTGTTTGGGGTTAGATGTCAAAAGTGCAGCCATTCTTTTAGGCTACCTACCCAATATTAAATGTGAATGTAAGAAAGTAGAGAATTTAGTCATCTAATTAAAATATCAACAACATAAAAGTATTTGTCATATAATCTAGTTGCTGCTTGTAAAAGTTGAGCATTGGGGTTTGTGATGGAAGAGACAAAGAATATGTGAATTTTGAGGATGAAGAAGGGGACCTAGACCATACATTCATATAGCATTTTGGAGGTAATAGGTCTAAGTAGTTTACTGCACTTGGGAACTCTGGACTTACAGGAGACAACAAAGGAACCAGAGGCCATAGGATGAAAGGATTACAAATGGGAATAAATAGATGCTGACCACCAAAGCAGGAATGAAGCAAGAGTTAATATAAAACTCACTTGGATACATGATATCCTATTTCTTTCATCCTTTTGCTTCAGTCTAGCTCAGTCTCTAATTCCCCATATTTTTATACACACACACACACACACACACACACACACATGCACACACACACACACACACACACACACCTGGTGTAGTTGTCTTCCTTCAAAAATACTGATCCAAATCATTAATTTTTATGAAAAAAGCACATTAATAAATCAACATTTCGGCCCTGTAAAAACCTCATGCAAGTTTTAACGATAATGTCAGTGTGATTTGTATCCCATCCACTTTTTTTAAAATTCCAAAGTAATTAACCTTGTATCTTAAACAAAAAAATTAAATTAAATAATAGATTAACAGTGCCTCAAGAAACCATATAAATTAGAACAATTC